TTTTTTTTAACTTTACTGTTGGGGGATCTAGGGAAATATTAGGGATCTAAACAGACCCCTGATATTTACCATTTAAAATAGAAGAGATTGCTCAAGAGTCCTCAATCTTTTTTTCTGCATCCCCTGTTATAAATGAACAGAAAGCCTCTATACTGAATGTTCCTGTTCATTCATAACTTGTGAAGATAGTATATTTACCATGTCCACAATCATGAACAGGAAGTGATGTAGATCACTTCCCATTCATTCATAATTGGGGACACAGTAAACATACTATGTCCTCAATTATTTACAAACACTCAGCGATCAATGAGTGCTTGTACCGCTCACCATCCTGACATGCTGTCACAGGAGGCTGTGACAGCTGACTCCACCCCCGCTCCACCGGCCTGGCCTATCTCCGCCCCCACACCGCTCTCCTGATCTGTCACAGGAGGGTGGAGAGCCCGGCCTCCTGTGACACTCCGGCTGAACACATCGCTGTCCTCCCCCGCACCTTTGTGACAGTTTCTCTCATCCCCACTGGACGCTGCGCTGTGTCAGGGTAAACACAGAGTAGCGCCCAGCGCGGAGAGAAACCAGGCATGCCCCGCTATTTTGGCCGAAATGCCATTTTCAGCGGATATGTTTCGGCGGCCGAAATTTGGGTGCATCCCTGTTTTTGATCTTTTTACATTAGCAACTTAAATTAAAGTAATGGCTGGTGAACCTTTCATGAAGGTCGGCAACCACAAATCAATTTATAACTAGCCCTAAAAGCAAGCAACATTTCCCAGCACATGGTAAGTATGCTGGGAAATGTTTGTGTTTTGTACTGTTGTAAACCCTTCCATGTGCACCTTACTTTTTAGGCTAGTTATAAATTGATTCATGGGTGCCATTTTTGTTTAGCTTGGCTGTATTTGGTGTGGGGATGCATTGGTGACTTCAGCTTACATTTTTATGTGCTGGGCCTCCAGTGCGTACTATACCTTTAAGGAGGAGTGGGCTACCTACAGGAATACCGGCATTCAATTTATCTACTGTTTAAATTGCTTCAGTATGGAGGTTCTCAAAGAGTAGTTAGGACCACACTTCACAGAGGAGCCTTGACAAGGCAAGGTGGCTTCCACATATTTTTTAAAAGTTGTGCAACTAAAACCTCTGTTTTTAACGCATATTGTAGACTGTATTTTGTTTTGTTGCAGGCTAGCTGGTAAGTGTGCTGTGAGATTTTCATGTTTTGCAAGTTTGGAGTAATACCTGGCTTGAGTATGGCATTGTCAGATACTTTGAATTGACTGATTTTCTGCTTTGGTGGCACCCCAGCTTCGCTGTAGAACTCCATGAAAGATTCAGGTTTCTGCAAGGTAAAAAGAAAGCAACTGAGAGGGAAATCTTGGAGCATTAAGTATGCTTTGGCAACCTGATATAGGACATCACACCTATCTTCACCAGTTATATTTGTGGCAAAACATATATACTTTGTGCTGGAGAGGAAATGTTGCCAAAGTCACACAGAGGAGACAGCTTCCATTCATACTTGGGAGTTCCTCTACTTAATCTGGACATTTTTTTCACACAAACCAAGAACTGCGCCTGCTCAACATAATAATGCTGGCCACAGACCTTTTGTCTTGCGATGGTTGTAAGGTAATTTAAAAAAACGTACGATCTGCCCATCTTGGACAGGCAGATCGTACTTGTGATTATCGCAAGCCCGCCCCGCTGAGGGACGGGCTTCCGATGACCGCAATGCTGAACGGGCAGTGTGCGATTGCGCAGACCGGCCCGTGCGGCGTTTATCTAACGAACATGCCACACACCCGCCGACAATCGGACGATTCTCGGCGTGTTTTCGAACATGTTCCTAAGATAAAAGTCGTGCGACCGTAATAATCGTACAATTGCGGGATTTCCCGCGATTATCGTACGACTATCGCAAGGTGTGTGGGCACCTTCAGAATGATAAATGAATTTAAAGCATCACCATAATAGCGCAGACAATATTTAGTTTCACCTTAAACCAAACTGAATAAAAAGGAGAGAGAGGAAGGGGCACATGCTCTATCAGCCTTTAACGGCTTTTGGTCTATAGAGAGCTCACTGTCAGAAAAAATGTCACAAGGCAACAGCAGGAAGCTCAGCTAAAAAGAGACACAAGAAGAAAACTTTCTCCTACATTTAGCAGCTCTGTGACAGTAAATCAGATAGGGACCGAAAGGACAGATGGCTACACATAAAAGCACAGTATATGCCAATTTTGCAATATAAACTATAGTTTTGGTCAATGTAATATGATTCTTTTTTTTACAAACGTGTACATTTTTAAAATGAAGATATTACATTATTATACATAAATCCACATACATTACATAAATAGTTCAAGTTAAACGCCACCCTTATTTTCCATCTTGCACAGTTGTACAGGCGTCTCTCCTTAACATAAAATGCTTAGTCTCATTTCACTACATTGCGCTGAAAAGGCTGTAAGACATGCAGCATCAAATACCTCCTTCCTCCCCCAACCTGACTGTCTCTGGCCTTTTCCCTTTATTGTATTTCAGTTCTTTCAAATCATAGAGGCTCGGTATCACAGGTAGGCATTACCTAGAGGGGGGTCTGTATGCAAATGCAGTCTGCCCAGGAATGCCCACTCCTTGGGACAGACACCCACCCAGCAAAGGCATTACTGGGTCTAAAATAAGGAATATACTTAAAACGGAAAGGTTTAATGACAAAAACGAATTAGCATTTTAAAAGCGGGAATAGGGAAGGCAAAATATAAGCTGCATTAAAATTGAGCTTTAAGACATGACAAAGTATTGCAAAATACTGTGCGTTACTGAAAGAGACAGCACAGCAAATAAAACTTATATTTGTGCATCAGTCAGCTGTAGATCCTCAAATCATCTCTGAATTCATGCCAACACTGTCCTTCCTTCTGGGGGGTGGCTACTTTTGTTCCCCATAGTCCCTGTGTGGATTGTAAAGTAGCCACCATTCCAAGCTGACACCCTTGTACATACATGTGATTGTAGTCCATCATGGGAGCGAGCTTGGAGCGGTAGCTACTTTACAACACACACGAGGACCATGGGGAACAAAAGGAGCCACCCTCCAGAAGGAAGGACAGTGTCAGCACAGATTCAGAGATGATTTGAGGGTCTACAGCTGAGTGATACACAAATAAGCTACATTTTTGTTAATAGTTAAAGTACTTGAATTAATTTTTAAAAGGAGAACTATGAGATGAGTGATTTCCACTCACCTCATAGTTCTAGCCAACCTGTGACAATGAGACTGTCACAGGTCGGCTCAGTAGATCGGGAGGTGAGCGAACATATACCGGGTTCG